ACCCAGACCAATCCAGTTATATTTCAAAGGTTACAGGGCCCCCTATCACTCTGGAATCATCTTAAAAGCCTCATGCCCCCATTTACGGTGCTCTATGTCCCACATGCAATGGTAAATTCACAATTCTGTGATTTTTTTAATTACAAGGTGTAAAGTATAAATTCCATCAAACACCACAGTTACCCTGATGAAGCTAATAAGTAATTGATGATGGGGATGCATGTCACGATCAGCTCCGAACGATCTTCGTGTGTGCCACGCCCCCTCATTACCTCATGTCGACTCCTGATTGTTCCCACCTGTTTCTAGTTAATTCTAGCCTGTCCTGTGTACTTAGTCTGCATCCGAGTCCAGTCCCGTCAGATCTGTCATTGACGTTAGTAGTGTATTGTTGTGTGGTTACCTGTTCGCCCTGAATAAANTCGTGTGTGCCACGCCCCCTCATTACCTCATGTCGACTCCTGATTGTTCCCACCTATGTCTAGTTAATTCCAGCCTGTCCTGTGTACTTAGTCCGCGTCCGAGTCCAGTCCCGTCAGATCTGTCATTGACGTTAGTAGTGTATTGTTGTGTGGTTACCTGTTCGCCCTGAATAAACCCCTGTGCTACCCGTCGGACCGGCTCCTCTCGCCTTTCTGCCCGTCCGCCGACCACGCTACGTGATAGAATGACAGATCTCCTCGAAGACGCATCGCAGCAGGACAAGGACCTCTGGCTCGTCCTGCTGCATGAGACTGCGTATTGGCGAGAGCTGCCAGAGATCCAACAGGATCCCAACTTGTTCGCCCTGGCGGAGCGAAGCTGGACACTCCTGCAAGAGGTAACCCCACGCACCGAAGCGCACGCGATGGTGGAAGTGCGCGCTCTCCTGCTACAGCTCGCCTGCACGGAGGGAACCCCGCCTCCATCTACCGGTCGGAGACGGAAGAAAAGGCGTCGGAGACAAGAGGAAGAGGACCCGACGATCTTCCTGGGAATCTGTTCCTTGCTCCCCGCCTGGGAGGAGACCCTTGCTACCTGTCTGCTCAGCGCTGGTGAGAAGCCGCCCGCCATGGAGGCTTACCACTACCTGCCATCGCGCCTATTCAATAGGGGGGCTAGGGCCATCTGGGACGCCATTCACCGGATCCCCAAGGCCCTTAAAGGGGCAGCGCCTGCTCGCCCGGCGCCCATCCTGGCGCCCGTTCCGGACCTGCCTGCTTCAATCCTGCCTGTTCCAGCCTCTCCGGCTGCACCGCCTGCTGCCACGCCCGCGACTCCCGCTGCACCGCCTGCTGCCACGCCTGCTGCCACGCCCGCGACTCCGGCTGCACCGCCTGCCTGCCGCGGCTCCAGTGACTCCATTGCCCTTGCCCTAGCAAGGCCGACACTCCCCAGGACCCTGCCTTTCCGTGTCCCGTAAGGGGAGGGGACACAGGCGTCGGGCCCGGGTCCCGTCCTCCCTGCCCCCTGGCTCGTCCGTGCGTCCCCTGGCCGTCGCTCGGTGGCTGCCTGCGGGTCCTCTGGCTCTGGGTCGGCGGTCCCCTCCGGGTCCCCCCCTGGTGCCTCAGTGCCGGTCCTCGGTCCCGCCTCCGGGTCCGTGTCGGCCGCCTCCGGGCCCCCCTGCTGCAGCGGGGCGTCGGGCGGCGCCTTCCCCAGCTGCGGCTTCCCCCTCCTGCCTACCTACGCCGGTGTTCCCTCCTGCTCCCTCCGTGTCCCCAGTGTCTCTCCCTCAACCCGTTCCCTTGGCCCCTGTGTGGTCCCCTCCTGCTCCCTCCTCCCTCTCGCCTGCGGCGGCTCCAGCCGCTGCCCGTCTGGGTTCCCTCGGGCTCCCCTTCGTCCTCCGTCCCTTCCTGTCTGGTCTCCCCTGTCTGGTCCTCCTCCCTTCGTCCCACCTGTATCTGCTCCTCGGGGGGTTCTGTCACGATCAGCTCCGAACGATCCTCGTGTGTGCCACGCCCCCTCATTACCTCATGTCGACTCCTGATTGTTCCCACCTGTTTCTAGTTAATTCCAGCCTGTCCTGTGTACTTAGTCCGCGTCCAAGTCCAGTCCCGTCAGATCTGTCATTGACGTTAGTAGTGTATTGTTGTGTGGTTACCTGTTCGCCCTGAATAAACCCCTGTGCTACCCGTCTGACCGGCTCCTCTCGCCTTTCTGCCCGTCCCCTGACCACACTACGTGACAATGGACATGAGTGATTATAAAATATATTAAATAGCATTTATAAATGCCTTGTGCAAAGGTGTAATTTTCTCATGGATGTGCAAACTAAAACGGAAGTGATACATTTGTACCTGATGCTCCACATGACTTTGGGTCATGTTTCATCACAGCTCATATGTATTCCCAGTCTATTCTATCAAAAGTATTCTCGATATTAAGAGAGAATTTATCTGTTTGGTGGGGGAGGGTCTCGGTCAAGGGTAAGCAGGGGCATTGCTAGAGATTTTGGGCCCCATGAAGGAATATCACATTGGGACCCCCAATCCAATTCAAAGGTGGAGCAATACTCGCCATAAATGATCTAAGGCAGCGTCCCCTTTCAGATAATATGAATTTATTTAGAAATGGTTCAGTTACATTTACTGAGACCCTGGCAGTCAGTTTCAATCCACACACATTATATTGTTTTTGGATCGATCTTGTGTAGCGGACCTATTGTGTATGCCATAGAAATGTGTGTGATCCTTATTCACGGCACAGTTAGTCAGCCTCTTCTCCATGGATGTCATTCATTCTGTGCCTCCCCTCCAGGGATTTATGATAATCTGTAGGTTATTTGTCTGAGGTCTGCAATACCCCTGATACATTATGACTTAGAAGGGATTATAAGCGTCAGCGAGGGTAAGTCCCACCAAGGCCACTCCGAGGACCTCAGTATTCCCCCCTTTCACAAATTTAGCTCATTGTTGTTATTTTAATTTACATTTAGTGTTATCTAATTCTACTTATTTTATTTTGAAACTTTAATAGCTTTGATAGAGCCTTTTTCCTTTTAAAGTTTGTTTTAAATTTTTGGAAGAAAGGTTAACCAGTTTATGGGGATTTTTCCATTTTTTAAGATACACATGACATCGCGATAGTGAGGACTGTAAGAGTAATGTAATTATTTTCAATTAAGGAACTTACCTCTCTTTGACGGTAAGTAAAGACAATCTTTTATGTACAATTATTTCTGCCATTATGCCTGGTGCCACTTTGGATCAGACGCTGAATGGGGCCCTTTAATTGGCATTGGGCACATTATTTCCAAAACTTGGGTTTAATTTACTCATAAAAAATGATAAATTTACCTAAAACTAGCGAGTGCAAAAATGTTGCCTTAATTTGAGAAAATCCTATAGGATATTTTTTCAGTGTGGCAGTATAACAGTAGACCATAAAGTAGATTACAGTAGATGAACTGGAAAATGAACAGTAAACTACTAGCAACCCTGCTGCCCGTAATTTACTGTTAATTTACAGGACAATTTTTTAGAGTGAATTGCTCTGTTCTACCATTAAGAATGTAATACATTTACAGCTCATAAAGGATTGTAACATAACCCAGATAATCCAATGCAATTTAATTATTTGAATTTGTCATATAACAGTGGTTTGATAGTTACTTATCTTTAAAACTTGTTATAGAAATAACATCGGCCAACATTTTAAATTTTTTGTTAGGTGATTTAACAAAAACAAGTGCATGTTCTACAGCTTTTCATGTAGTTTCAGGCTTCCAATTTGCTGCCACATGTCTGGTTTTGTCACAGTTTACAATTAAAGTTCAACATAAATTACACTAAACAAACATTTTTAGTATATTTAGTTTTGCTCCAGCATGTCTGGTTTTCCTATGATTTCAACTTTTTTCATATTCAATGCATTGTATACCTAATAATGTCATTCTGATACCAGTTATATAAAATCACCAGTAACCTGTCATAGACTAATTTTTTTGTACAAACTAGTCAGCAGGGTTTACAGGCAGCTTTCAGTTATGTAAACTTACAGGTATGCTGCTGCAGGTCCACTGGTGCCGACCTTTGTATGCAGAACTGTGGTCTGCTTTCTGTCACTCAGTACCCAGAGGAAACCCCACAATGACATAGGGAGAACATGCAAACTCCACACATGTGGAACCATGGTAGAGACTTGAACACTGGTCCCAGAGGTGTGCGATAACAATTCTAACCACTGCACCACCAATTGAATGAAGTTATTGGAGCAATTTAAATGATTGCAATACCCAATACCCATTCATTTACTCTTTATCCAACTAGTCACTAGTTTATACTTATGTTAATTGGTCTAGCTGCTGCTTTAAAGAAAGCTTAAAAAGACCACTACTTTCTTTTCACCAATACTTATTAGCACCCAATAACTCACAAAACAATGTCTCACTATCTCTTTCCCTTTCTTTTTTCCTTAAGTGTGTAGCTTTGAAAAACCAACTTAAGTATCTGAGACAAATATCATCCATTGGCGTTAAAACAAAGAAGTTCAGAAGTGACATGTGATTGCAATGATTGTAAAAACTATAGTTAGGTTACACATTGTGGGGTGTGAAGAAGCACTTTTATGCACATACACACACAGTCATTCATATGGAGTGATTTTGAGGCACCAGGAATAGGTAAATATGCTTTACATAACCACAAATATCAAGATAATCATTCTCTTTTGGCAGATGGGTGGTGGAAATTAAGGTGCTCCCGGATTTCTTAAGGGTGAGCTGATGTATGTAAACTAGAAGGAAATGATGTCAGAAGCAATGCCCATAAATGGAAATTAATCAAGCAAGAGCACTGTTTTTTTTACATGATATATTATCAAATCCCCACAGATATCCATCACTTCTATGTTCTCATCCATGGTATTCTGTAGTAAATAAATCCCTCTGTTGGGTTAAGCTTCCCTCATCTGCTCCCTCCCTCGTTCTTTTTTTTTATTATTTTTAGGCTACCAGGCTGCCTGCTAGGTGAAAACATTCAAGGGGCAGTAAGCACTAGGCCTATGAGGGGGGCATTGGGACAATGCTCCGGCAGTATCATTTGTCCCATGGCTTAACGCAGAAACGGGCGGCTCCTGATGTGAAGGACCATCAGCTATTCTGTCTTTTCTGCAAAGCCTGGCTCTGCTTTTTCCTACTCGCCGTGCTGGTATCTCCCTGCAGGACCCAAATGGCCATATTCAAGGTCGGTGTAGTGGGCCCATGGTCATGTGACCCTCTCTTTGCTAAGGCACTACCAAGGGCGGCAGCACAGATTGCTGTGGACAGGATCAACACGGACAGCTCCTTGTCATTGGGCTCCACATTCGGGTATGTCATCCTTGAGGAGGACTGCCAGACCTCCAGGGCCCTCAGTCGCTTCCTGGGCTACCACTCCCAGGTGTCTGGTTTTGTGGGGCCCACCAACCCAGGCTACTGCGAGGCCGCTTCCCTGCTGGCTAAGAGCTGGAACAAGCCTGTGTTCTCCTGGGCTTGTGTCAGCTATGAACTGGACGACCCCCGCAGCCACCTGACTTTTGCCCGTACCGTGCCCCCGCCCACATGGGTGCTACTTAGCGTCATGCGCCATTTCCGCTGGGCGCACACAGGCATTGTCTCGTCAGTGGAGGAGAGCTGGATAGAAACAGCCAACAAAGTGGCCAGTGCCCTGCGGAGCCATGGCATCCCCGTGGGCGTCATGGCGACGACTGACGATGACCCAAGTAGCATACGTCACACGCTAGCAAAAATCAAGAAGGCAGAGGACCTGCGCAGTGAGTATAGTATAAAAATACTAGTGAGTAGTTTTTGTGCACTTCATTAGTGACAGAAAATTTGCAGAAATCATAGTTCTTTATTTTAAATAAGCTTCTTCAGTAACCGATACGGAAACCCAGTAGGAAATACAGAGGTCAAATAAAAAGTCAGATTGAGTCACAAAGGTAGGATCATGGGCACCTGCAGCTGTACACTAGTATGCACTGTGTGTAAAGTGACATCTTTTCTTTTTTTCTCATTATGGCTGCAATAGGAACATAAAAATAGCAGTAGGGCTGCAGGATTCTGGGTAAAATATGAATCCCTCAGATGCATGATCATGATTTTCTCTCACAGTTCTTGAGCAATACAATTCTCTAGTATTCTATATTACATTGTCTTTATGTATGAAGCAGAATTCATGCCACCTTGAAATGCAAACATGACTTCTACGTGCATGGAAAAACAATCCACACGACATGTTGTTTTACAGTGCACGGTACACAGAAACTATGCCATGTGATAATGCAATGCACAAGAGGCATTGCTTTTCAGTGAGTGTCGTGATGAGAGCGAGACACAATGAAAAGCAAAACCATCAGTCCATTTCTTTGCATTCTATTTCACTACCATCCATAAAAACAATTAGAAGGGTTTACATTGCACACAATTAAATGAAGAAATCGTGCCCCACCACACCAAAATGCAATGGCCATCTTTGCTCTGCTCATCTGGCTTATTTTCATTTTCAGAAAGTACATGCTGAAATTGTGCCACCACAAATTCAGCAAGCAGGGGGCATGGTCACAGAAAACAGGCTGGGACAATCCCTTAAGATGTATTCGATGAGATGACAGCCACTATATGACAGGCTGTGGCCACAACCTCTACACCCAAGCTGTGCCCAGCTGCCCAAAGTAGCGGCTCATGACATGTTTAATTCATTATTATATATGGCCCATAGTCCAATAGATAATATATACAGAATCAAAAACATTGCAATGGCATTTCATTAATCTGCACCAGTGAGCTCGGTAAGTTTCACAGACAGATCCACTGGCTTTGCTATAAAGAACATTCAGCATGACATCAAAATTGACATTGAGAAAGTGCTACAAGAATTTGATGGAGATGGAGAATCAACTTAAAATAGGTTGGCAAGAATGTAATTCATTAATTGACAGGTCGGAGTGGGCGTTGGTTGGGTGGGGGGGGGGGGGCACGTCCCCTCAAAAAAAAAACACTTGCAGATGCCCCTGGTTGGATCCCTACAAAGCAGAGGCTGTTCCAGCTGCTCATACCATTCCTGATTCCCACAGTAGTGATCCTCTGCATGCATTCGGCTCTGATCGGCGGGAAGACACAGAAGCTGCTGTTGGAGATGGCCCTGGACATGCGCCTGACTGAGGGCTCCCTTGTATTTGTGCCATACGACACGCTGCTCTACAGCCTTCCCTACCAGAACGTGAGCTACCCGGCTCTGCACACCAATGGCAAGCTACGGCGTGCCTACGATGCTGTCCTTACCATCACCATGGACTCCCACGATAAGTCCTTCTTCCAGGCATATCAGGAAGCCATGGAGCGTGGGGAAGTGCCAAGGAACATAGAGCCCGAGCAGGTATCACCATGGATACCAAATGGATTTCCAGATATGGGTCTATATTGTTGACCAGTAGTTTTTCTGGTGATATTGTTCTTATTGTCTTGTATTTGTTGGCACTAATCTCAAGCATACATGTGAATTGACAGTGATTCTTCAGACAAACTGCATGTCTGTTTGCGGGTCTGTGCTCCTTGTCATGCAGGTATCTCCTTTATTCGGGACCATCTACAGTTCCATCATGTTTATGGCCAAAGCCATGCAAAATTTGCGGGATTCCAGGACATGGCTGTCAGCGAGCAACCTTGCACGCCACACCACCCACCTGTCCTTCAGTGGATTCAACCAGCACTTCCACACGAATGCCTCTGGTTTCAACCTGGTGGATTATGTGCTCCTGGACACTGACGGCCTCTCCTGGGACTTATACCCCACCTACCGAGTGGATTTCAAGGCCGGTATGATGACGTTCCTGGGCCAGCCTATTCACTTCCCTGATGGTTTCCCCCCCAGGGCTGAATCCAACTGCTGGTTTGCCCGTGGAGCATTCTGCGCTGGAGGTGAGGAGGACCAGGTCACAGAGGGCTAGCTTTGAGGGTTATGAATTCATGGAAGTGAGGGTAATATACAGAGCAGGCAAATTAGGGGCAGAAAGTTAGCATTCATGTGAATACACGGAATAAGGAATCAGGGGTAGAAGCCTAAAATTTATGGTTGGGGAGCTAGCATGCAAATTGCAGGGTGCATCAAAAATCATGTTGGAGTTCTGCACTTAGAAGTATGTAGCTGGGTGAAGGATTGTTTTACGTGGAAATTTGATCAAAATAATGAGAGATTTCTAGGTTGTGGAAGCTCTTAGAGATAAAGTTAAATATGTAAATAAAGTTAAATTCATTATTGAAACAACCTTTAATAACCCAATTTCTCCTGTCTGTCAGGTGTGGATCCTTTTTTTGTTATCGCAGTGTTTTTGTCAGCTGTCTGGATGATTTTCACCTGTATTGGACTTTCTTACTGTATAAGGTACTGAAGTAAATATTAAGCTTAGATTAGTGCAGCACTAGATGAGAATGGAGCCTCCAGGTTCCTGATTATAATGGCAAATTGCTTGTAGCTCATATTTTGTTTTTTGATTCCATGTGTTTTTCTAGCTGACAATAAAATCATTAAATCATTACCTAAATCAGTACATTAGTATAAAATAAACATGATATCTACTATGAAATCATTTTAATTAAGTTAACACATTTATTTATTCAGTTGCTTTAGTCATTTTGTTTTGTGGACAGTTTATTTGTTAAAACTTGTAATCTTCAGATATGGATGTGGAAAAAATTAAGAGACCACGTTATATTTTTAAACAACTCTGCATTTTAAAATCCTGGTTTAATCATAGTTCTGCTGGCAGAAGGCTATGGTGAGCAGGAGGTTGCTTCTAGGTAAATTTCTAACACAGCAGTACACAAGAAGAAAATGAAGCAGAAGACACAGAGAACGACCAGAAACCAACCAGATAAAGGGCAGAAGCGATATTCTAATGCCAGAGATGAGCATTAACTTATGTGACAGTTTCTCATGAATTGTAGGATGACATCAAGTGACCTTCAAAAGGAATGGGAAACATTAAGTGCAGGTGTGAAGTGCACTTAATGGACAGTTCATATCAGGCTCTTAGAAGCAGGACTGGAGTCTGATGAAACAAGGAAGAAGCCCTTTGTTAATGAGAAACAGAGAAGAACCAGGCTGCAGTTTGCAAAAAAATATATATTATTCACAGACACCCAGACATTGAGAAATGAGTCAAACAAAAAATTGTCCTATGGTCTCTTAACTTTTTCCACGGGTGTATATGGCAAGTCACCCTCTTTTTGCATCCACTAACTAGTAAGGACTAAACTATTGCAAGATTGTGAGTATTACAAGAAATCAGTTAAAGGATACATGACAGGCAGAGGTTATGGAGGGTAATCTGGACAGTCTGCCCTCATACGTTACTCTTACTCGACCTTAATGCTGGTCTTTACTTTCAGACGACGTATAGGCCAGATGCAGATAGTTAAGGGCCCAAACAAGATTCTGCTGACTCTGGAAGATGTCACCTTTATCAATCCATCCCTCAGCAACAAGGTTAGTGGGCAAGGTTCAAAGGAAAATTTCTCAGTGCATATTAAACCAAAGACAGAGCCACTGAAAGTTTTCAGTTGCTTGGTAGCTGCTTGTTTAAATTCAGTAGACAATTATATAAATACTGAAAAAGCCATCAGTTCATCTTTCAACTACCTCTCCAGCACATGATTATGGGATACTGGAGTATAGATGCAGCAAATCTTATTTTTATTGACTGCAAGAGGAAAAACTGATTGGGCATTATATTGCTTCCTTGTCATAATTATGATCAACAAACTGGATCTCCTAGCTGCTACTGTTAATGAGCAAATTCCTGTCCATGTTTATGGTATTAAGCAGGCAATGCATGCAGACCCCTGTGGTGGTGTGAGTCTGACTCCGATCAAGATGGTTAACAGATATGCATGACAGGGGGACACAAGGTGGGAATGGGGTTTTTATTTGGGAATAGGCTTAACAAAATAGTGGAATGAGATCAAAAAATACCGGACCCAGCAGAGGGGAAACCCGGGAAAAAGAAATGTGCCTCTGGTGTGAGGAGGGCAGCAACACAGACAAGGTCTTGTATTTGTGATCTTGAAAAAACAGAAGCACGGGTGACTGGACTGTCACCTCAGGCTGTCCCTCTGCCACCTTCACTTTTGTGTTCATGTTCATTAATGTCAGTTTGTTATTTTACAGAAGCACATCATCATTTTTAGGGAATAGGGCTGTATACATAAGGAAACCACTGGATGCTCAGCTGTGTGAGGTAACCAATTAGCATGTTATTTGAGCTAAATCTGTTCAGCCTCAAGCAAAGGAGACTGAGGGGGGACATGATCCAGGTCTATAAGATTCTAACAGGTTTGGATGCTGTTCAACCGAATAGTTACTTCAGCATTAGTTCAAATACAAGAACTCGTGGCCATAGGTGGAAATTAGCGGGAGAACATTTCAAACTGGATTTTAGGAAGCACTTCTTTACACAGCGTGTAGTCAGAGTATGGGATAGTCTTCCTGATAACATAGTGCAAGCTGAATCCTTGGGTTCCTTTAAATCAGAGCTAGATAAGATTTTAACAACTCTGAGCTATTAGTTAAGTTCTCCCCAAGCGAGCTCGATGGGCCGAATGGCCTCCTCTCGTTTGTATAGTTCTTATGTTCTTATGTAATTCTAGCTTTGTTTATTGGTTAGTCAGTTGTAACCAGATTCATTTATTTATTATGGGGGGGGGAGGGAGTTGAAGTGACTATGGTAAAAGTTAAAAAATAAAATAATCTCGACTCACCTATTGAGAAACACTATTAAGGTAAGAAAAGTGGGATTCCAGTGTCCCTTGGTAAACTTTGCCATGCAGTCTCTCTGAATGATTCTCCAGCTTGACAAATTGCAGACATGTCTGTCCGCATCGATACAGAAGCTGAACCTGGATGACAGCAAGACCAGCGAGATAAGGAGGAGTCACTCTGAGGCAGAAGATAGATCTACATACTCCACCTCCAGCCTGACTGCCGCCACCCACGAGAACTCCAACGTGGCCATCTATGAGGTGCAGGCTTCCACTTTGCCATACATTATTCATAAGTATCATCAAAGCAAAGCAGCCTTGGCTAGTGTCACCCTGGTAATATCTCCTGCTTTCCTAGGGGGACTGGGTATGGTTGAAAAAACTCCCATCCGGAAACTTTGCAGCTATCAACCCAAAAACCTGTGACATCTTCCATCTGGTTGGTGTTAGCATTAGCTCATTAAAGTCATAATATTTTTTTCTATTTCAGAATTTCCTTTTTCTTGCATTAAATGAAAACACCAGCCTTTTTTATGACTATAAAGCTGCTGTGTGATGTGTGTATGTTTGCCCTGTGTTTTTAGATGAAGGACATGCGTCATGAAAATGTGAACCCATTCCTCGGTTACTTTCACGACTGTGGTGTCTTTGCGATCATCACCGAGTTCTGCTCTCGGGGGAGCCTGGAAGATCTGCTGCGTAATGAGGATGTCAAGCTGGACTGGATGTTCAAGTCCTCACTGTTGCTGGACCTCATCAAGGTACATTTTTCCTTCAGTATTTGGGTTGCAACATGACATCCAGAGCTGCTGCCAGATACTGTTTCAGTAAACTCAAACTTCATTGATGTTTTTGAGTTTCCAAGCCTTCTGAAAAAGCAAAACATAGAAAAGCATTGCAATTTCAGCCTTTGTGTCATCCACATGATCAGATTCTGCCTTACCAAAAGGCTACAGCAAAATGTCAGGTCATTAATGAACAAAAAATCATTTAAGAGACATTTATGTATGACATTACACAATATACAGCATATCAGTTAATGTATTTATTGTATAACTGAGGACTGTTTGTAGCAGTGAAACACTACTTTTTATAGTGTCATTAAACAAGAATGTGCACATTTAGTCCAAAACTAAATTCACTGTGTAAGACTGATTCACTGTGTTGCTGAAGTGTGCTCATGCTGCCATAACTGCAGTATTAACAGAAGCAATGGCAGTTACATGCTTTTCTGGTAACTCAGAGTCTGCAGTACTAACAGACTCCATGACAGTCACAGTCTTTGATGGTAACTAGGAGTCTACAGTAGTAACAGATTCAATGCCAGTCACATCTTCTGCCAGTAACTCGGAGACTAGACTGTTAACACAGTCAATGACAGTCACATTCTCTGCCAGTAACTAAAAGTTTGCAGTAGTAACAGACTCGATGGCAGTCCTGTCCTCTGTCAGTAACTCAGAGTTCTGCCTCTATGGTCAATAGGGCATGAAGTACTTACACCACAGGAACATGTGCCATGGCCACCTGAAGTCCCGTAACTGCGTGGTGGACGGCCGCTTCGTGCTCAAGGTGACTGATTATGGTTACAAAGAGGTTCTGGGGGCTCAAAAGTTCCCCTACGAGGAGCCGCCTCTAGAAGGTGAGTCTCACTTCACAGTTACATTAGGATGTCCATATCAAACCCACACAGCCCTGGACATTGGCTGGCAACCTTAAGTCATTCTAATGTCCAGGCTTTGATGATACACTTTTTGCAACATGAATAAGTACACTGTGGGAGTACGTGCTTGTGTTTGATATCTGCTTTTGGGTTCCTACATTGGCACTGTGGCTGTGATGTTAATGGCTCGTTTGAAAACATCTCTGAGAGGACATGTGAGTGTCTGTGCATTTGGGTCTCTGACTGTGGTTCACCGGCTTTTCAGAGCTGCTCTGGATAGCCCCGGAGAACTTGAGGGGCTTATTCCCTGGGCTGCATGGCACCATGCAGGGTGATGTGTACAGCTTCTCCATCACCATGCAGGAGGTGGTTATACGAGGCCCACCCTTCTGCATGCTGGACCTCTCCATCCAAGGTGACAGCACAAGCCTATGGATGTGGCTGCAAACATCATGACAAAATAGAGATATATCCTGATACTTTTTCATACGTCACCAGGTGCCTGTTTTCACAATAATACCTTTTTAAAATGCAATACTGTAGATTATCTTCATCACATGATTGCTTTTAATTAATGGCCTTATCTGAAGTTCATACAGTATCCATTGAAGATTTGTGTAGTCAGCTGTATGATTCAACCATGTGACATGTTGCTTTCTGTATTTCACTTTCCTTTCAGAGATTGTGCAAAAGATCAGGAAGCCCCCGCCCATATGTCGGCCTGTTGTGTCTCCAGACCATGCCCCTATGGAGTGCATTCAGCTGATAAAGCAGTGCTGGAACGAGCAGCCAGAGAGGAGACCCACCTTTGATGAGATCTTCGACCAGGTAAGTGCCCTGAGCCCAGTGATGGCCACAGTTAACCGAAAAGTCAGCTTCGGTAACTACTAATCTGCTAACTACAAAGTTTAATTTCATAATGCTAAACCGATGAACTGCTAAAAAAAATTTGTGAACTTTTATTATATGAATTTAGCTTCAGTTTGATTTTTGGCTATGAAACCTAGGGAGTTAAAATTTTGTAGGTTAGACACAGAGCTTTCCAAAAAGGCATGGCATTCCAAAATCAAATGATGATCAATGTTTACAAAGAGAATTAAATGAACAAATAAAATTAGACATTACTTTACAGTCATCAATCTCAGTAAACTGATGAAAATATGCATACAATAACATACGCTGACATTATTAGGGCTCATTCCTACTATGTCCATTGCATTGTGCTTTTCATCAACGCACACATTCAGCAGTCCGGTAGAACATCATGCATTGCACAAAATGCAATGTATGGTTTTCCCACTAATGCGCTGCATTGCAGTGCATTTTGAAAATGCTGCACTAAAGCTACAGCAAAATGTCGTCAGAATATGATGCCAAAAACAACCTGTGGTCTCCACACCAAAATCTCCAACCTCTCTCCTCAAAATCTCTTCATAAACCCACACTAAAATACCAATGTCATCTAGATTTATCTGATTTTCTGATTTGCATATTTCAATATTTATTTATGTACAATCATAAAAATGTATCATAAAATCCAATATTAAAAACATAAACACAAACACAAGATGAAAATGCAAAAAACATATGTGAAAAAATGGCAGTACAACATGTTGAAGTTTTGATTGCTTTTTTTTGGCTTCCCTAGTGTGCTCTGATCCTGATTTCATCCCAAATTGTATCTGGTGCACATTTTTTAAATCAAGGCACTATGCCAGTACACTGATGTGAATATAAGTGGACCAATTACAGTTGTTGCAGTCTGCGTCACTCTATATTTTATGGGAGGTGCGCATAAGGCTATGGTCTAGGCTACAGCGTAGGGTACATGGCTACGCCAGACCTACGGCGTTGATTCAGTGCAGAAGTATAAAGCAGCCTTTAGGACTGTTACGCTGTAAGTCAGCTGAACTGAAGAGCTATGTTACCCTGCTCAGCTGCTACTGCATTGACCAATCTCATTATGTGTTGACGGAGACACGGTCCACAAAAAACATCGCCCGCAGTTCAAAAACATCAACAAGGGGAAGAAGACCAACATCATTGACTCCATGCTGAGGATGCTGGAGCAGTACTCCAGCAACCTGGAGGAGCTGATCCGAGAGAGGACAGAGGAGCTGGAGGTGGAGAAGCAGAAGACTGAGAAGCTTCTTACCCAGATGCTACCACCGTGAGTGCTAGAGAAGCAGAAGAACCTATTGAGCCTTGCAAAACACAACCAACATCCTACACATCATCCAGCATACATACAGCATGTGCTACAGCCTCACCAAGCATACAAACAGCATGTACTATGACCACACCTAGCATGCATACCACATGTACTAAAATATGCTAATACTCCATGCATACATACATAGATATAAAATACATACAGTGCCGAATGATACGAGAACCTATTGACAATTACGCACACAAATGCAGTCCAACGAATATTACAACTGATTTGCTGTTAGCGGGCTGTTAAGGGCTGTGTGAATGAACAGATGTTGCCTGTGGCCTCGCAGGTCTGTAGCCGAGGCCCTGAAGATGGGCTGCACCGTGGAGCCTGAATATTTCGACAGCGTCACTTTGTACTTCAGTGACATAGTGGGCTTCACTACCATCTCAGCCAATAGTGAGCCCATCGAGGTGGTGGATCTGCTCAACGACCTCTACACTTTATTTGATGCTGTCATTGGAAACCATGATGTCTATAAGGTATATCCTTTCTGCCTGTGCCTATTTGGTGTCTTTCATTGTTTTTATTTATTACTTTTATTTTATCGCTGTGCAGTTTAAGAACCTTCCTCGATGGTTCAATAGTAGTACCCTACCAAGGATTCAATCAGTTAATGCCCAGATTGTAATTTATATGTTACCATTAGGCAGAAGAGGACTACCCACACAAACTATTTAAACCACATTTAACCAGTCGGTTGTCATCTCTACACCCTGGCTGGTACTACTTTACAATAATGCTCCCTTTTGCGGCTTATTGTGGTAACTCATTAATAAAAATTAAACTGTTATAACTTGTTTATAATTGTCTATTAATGATTTACAACCTAATTAATAACCTGATTATAAACCTTTCATAAATCCTTTATACGGGTAGTCTTATTGTATATTGGTGCCCCTTGGTTTTTAATATTACTAAAGAATAAACTGTGAAGTAATAGTATTTGGTAGTAATATTGAAATTATAGCTTAAAGAAGAGACATGTATTTAAAAATGTAAAAGCTATGTCATACAGTTGCCACAGTTCTGCCCAAATGATGACAGTGCCACCCTGCATTTTTACTAAAGTTTTGGAAGAAACCCCTGTCTAAAGTAACCAAACAGAGTGTTTACCCTTTATTCTAGCATGGTGACCACTACATGGCACATCTCAGATCCATCCTCAACTGGAGCGGTCAGGGAAACCTCACTGAGACCTCGGACTCTTATGAGTTTTCTTTAGTTATTTAAAATAAAAATGAAATTTATAAGCGCATGGTAACAGTTATGCATTTGATTAATTTACTGTGAAAACAGACATGAACGTCTGATCCGAGGAACTTACCCAATGACATTTTGGTTAGCAGGTCAGCATCCTCAATTAGCTGGGGTTGCTTTCTCCTTGTTCGTTTACAGGCAGGATTCTTTCTTCTTCTTCCTTGTGAAGCTTGTTGTCCCTTGTGATGCCTCACCCAGGTGGAGACCATTGGTGATGCCTACATGGTGGCGTCTGGACTGCCCGTGCCCAATGGGAATCGGCACGCCGCAGAGATCGCCAGCATGGCCCTGGATATCCTGAGTGCCGTCGGCACGTTCAAGATGAGGCACATGCCTGACGTTCCTGTTCGCATTCGCATCGGCCTGCACACGGGTTGGGGCTGCACACATCCTTCTCTCCTCATTATGCACACGCATATGGAGCATTTGCACCTGAAGCTTTTAGTCTGCCCACTCAAGCAGCATATCAGCAGAAAAATCAACAGACAGAATACACTGTAAAAAACTCATGTTTACTATTATTACTGTAATCTGTTCCTCGGAGATTTACAGTCAGGGCGGGTGGTGGGACGGTCCTTACGGATGACACTGCAGCTGTGCAGGTCGGCTACTTTGAGCAATTGTTTAAAGCTGATCGTCCAGCTAGGATGTTGGACATGTCTGGGTCCACAGTTCTCGAAGCTGATCCGCTGATCAGCTGTGAACTACCCAGTCTCACTGAGATTGCATGGGTGGTGAATCAGCTGGGGGCATGGAAGGCCGCAGGGATCTGTTGTATCTGGGGTGAACTACTCCAGGCTGGTGGTAAGGCTGTCCTCCTGGCATTGCAGGCAATCCTTGCTTCCATTTGGGAGTCAGACTGTAAAACGGGACTTGTAGTCCCTATCTGGAAAGGGAAGGGTGGGTAACACTGCTTTCTGTGCCTGGTAAGGTCTTACATAGAGTCATCCTTAACAGGATCGGTGATCACTTGCTTGCCTGTCAGTGACTGGAGCAGTGTGGTTTTATGCCTAAGAAGTCTACTATGGACCATATCCTTGCACTGAGGGTTCTCATCGAGCGCAAGTGCGAATATCGGCAGAGATTCTTTGCAGCCTTAGTTGATTTTCATAAAGCGTTTGACTCAGTTGATCGAGTTACCCTGTGGGACATTCTGAGACCTTCAAGGATCCCCCCGAAGTTACTGCATGTCATGGCCGGTCTGTACACTGGTACTGTGAGTGTTTTGCAGAGTGGAGGGAGAACCTGTACGTTCTTCCCAATTGATTCTGGAGTTCACCAGGGGTGTGTTCTTGCTCCTACACTGTTCAATGCTTGTATGGACGGGGTGTTGGGCAGTTTCGTGGGGTCCAGCAGCAGTGGGGCATCTGTTGGTGAAGAAAGATTTACTGATCTTGACTTTGCTGACAATGTTGTGATCTTAGCGGAATCAATGGAGGCTCTGATTGGGGCTCTTGAGAGACTGAGTGTCTGGGATTGCGGGTGTCCTGGATAAAGACCAAGATCCAGGCATTTAACCCTCTGGGGACGAGGGTATCGTCAGCGATACTGTGTATCTTTCTCGTGTACTTCAGTTTATATCTCGCTGAAATCTTTATGCAGAATCATGAAGAAAATGCTGACTAAATCTGTAATCTGTCTTCTTTTCAAAACAACCATTGTCAGAAGTATTAAAGTTTTTAAAATTAGGTTAAATAAGCAAAAAAACATGTCACCTTACTTTGTTTTACCTGCATTTGGGGTGTGTAGTACCTCTCTCACCTGAAGATCGCTAATCACATTCTAAATAGCCGCATTAGCGCGTATTCAAATCGCATTCGCATGGTAATTTGATGAACAACGCAACGGTGAAACGCGATCCAGATACATCCCCATCAGCACCATAAAAGGGGGGGGGGGGGTGGCCAAGTGAGAATGGCTCATGCATACACATGAGAGCTCCTACATATTCAATGGTAGGAGGCCAGAAATAGTGACATAAGTTAGGTTTTTCTTATTTATTTATCCAGCTGAATGTTGCAACTACATCATTTAGTCATCTTCATGTAGCCAAGACTTTGGTTATCAGATATCTGGGGTCAAAACAAACTGCCACCATTGCGTTCTATGTACTTTTATAATGTTTCTGCAAGTGTTCCAAACTGCATTTTGCAATGTCTATACTTTGATGTCAAATAACAAACTTCACATAAATCTGACATATTTACAATATACATTAAAATAAAGATGAGTGTAATGACAAAACAAATATATAAGAAATAATTTATTTGCCATGAATTAAGTTTATGATATTGAAAGAAATGTGTGATCATGCTCCAGTCAGTGAAAGTGTGTTTCCTACCCCTAGACCCCAGAGGGTTAATGACTTCTTAGGCACAGCCATCAGTAGTGTGTCTGTCTGCGGGGAGAATCCTTGGGTACCACTGGTTTAACTTTGTGTCAAATGAGCGGTTGCTAGTGGAGTGCTGCATGAGGCACATTATCTGCATTGTGAGGGAGCATCAGTTATGGCACTATGGCCATGTGGCGCGTTTCCCTGAGGGTGATCCGGCTCGCAGGATCCTCATTGGTGAGGACCCAAGTGGCTGGACCAGGCCAAGGGGACGCCCACTTAACACCTGACTACGGCAGATGGATGGCCATTTCCAGAGGGTGGGATGAAGCCATGTATCTGCCTGGGGGATCACCAGCTGGGATCCCGAGGAGTTTCGCTGTGTGGTGGTTGTAGCAACGTGCTGCATCAGCGCATGCTCCCCTACCTGACCTGACCTGACCAGATAATAATAATAATTATACAATAATAATAATGGTAACTACATATGGTACTGTACTGTACCCTGAGCCGATGAACTGCTGAAGCCGCGCAATGTTTTCACGAGTATTACAAAGTCATGCATGCATTTGTTATTATACACCATTGTATTTTTCCCAAATTTTTTATATAATAGGCTTTATGGCAATCCGTTCATTCGTATGAGTTGTCCATAACTCAGGCTTTCTTAACTCAAGGACTGCCTGTACAACAAGTACTTAGTACTACACTGGTAAAGCTCCGTGCCTGGCAATAGACTTCCTAGAATGGCAGCAAGCTGCTCATCTCTGTTTCGGCTGTAGGTCCATGTGTGGCTGGGGTGGTGGGGCTGACAATGCCCAGGTACTGTCTGTTTGGAGATACGGTGAACACTGCCTCACGGATGGAGTCCACCGGCATGCGTGAGTAAATGGGAGCACTGCACCGGCAAGGGCGCCACTCTCAGACCTTACTGGAGGAAGCGAGATCATTACTAATGAAAGACATATTGACTTTCATCAGGCCTGCATAGAAAACAGCATACATAGAGTGAAACAGTCCTGCTTTGTGTTTATCAGTAGTGGCCAAGGACACAGCGTTTAATAGGCCTGCCTCTTACCTGCAGCATATCGTATCCATGTCAGTGAAAGTACTGTGAAAATGCTGCGGGAGCTCAAGGAAGGATACAGGGTGCAGCTGCGAGGAAGGACAGAACTCAAGGTAGGCTGAGCCAAGCATGCGCACCACACATTACTATAGGTGCTTTACAGTAAAGAGACTATTATTTCTGAATGGAAGGTCCTCATTAGATAGGTATGTTTGTGTGTGTGTGTGTGTGTGGTGGTGGTGGTGGGGGCGAATGCAGAGATAATATTTGGGGACCAAAATGTCTTCAAAGTGTGGTAAAGCCTGAAACTTCCTTACTTTTGGGGACATTTTTTCAGGTCCCCATTTGGATAATCTGAATTTTATAAAAAATAATCTGTGAAAACTTTTGGCAAAAAATAAAAATGCCAAAAGTTTTGTATTTTGGTTGGATACTTATGGTTCATTTTGGGTTAAGGGTGTTGTGATTGGGATTAGGGTTTTTCCCATAGAAATGAATGGACAGTCCCCATTTAGATAGGTACGCAAGTGTGTGGACACTGGGTTTGCGGGTATGCAAAATGGATGTATATTGCCTTAAATGATTAATTCTCTAGAATATGATGGCCACACACCCAGGGGGCAAAAAGAAAATGGTGAATATATTAGAAATGAGTACGTTTCTAATATATGTTCATACATAGGACAAGGACATATGTATCAGTAAACACAAACGATACAGGCCTCCAATTATCACAGAGGGCTCCATTTACAACACCTTGGGTTCATTTATAGTACTTTGAAAGGGACTGTATTTAGAGATCCAATTATTCTTTGTGATCATAAATATTGAAAGACTTATTATTTTGTTAATAATAACAATCTCAGAAATAAATGGGTCACAGATCTTCTGCCAAAACACAAATGATTGCCACTTTATTTTTAGCGTAGCTTTCCCTAAAAGTTGATTCCTCCTGGCTCCTCTATACTAAATTTCGTATGCCTCGCTGCTCTCCTTCATGCAGGGGAAAGGCATGGAGGAGACATACTGGTTGGTTGGCAAGGAGGACTTCGCCAAGCCGCTGCCCATCCCGCCAGAGTTGAAGCCAGGGTAAGCTGGGCCCGGTTGGCTCTCTGCCCCTCCTCCCCCATGTGTCAACAGTGTTAATCAATATACTTGACCATTCTTATGTTCTTGTGTACCCGTTTGACATCATCTTCCATTGCCGAAAACTAGTTCCAATACTCAAGAACAGAAGTACAGAGGACGGTAAAAATCCTCGGGTGTTGTTCTTGCTCCACCCCAAATATCATCAATGCATCAGTTGCATCCTTGCTAATAAGATCAAACCCATGGTTCATTGCATCCCAAGTTCGTTCTTGGGAGACAGGTTAGCAAGAACACTCTTGCCAAGGACACAAGCATGTTCTTTGTGTTCTTGGTATTGAGGAACACCCTCTAATGTCTTACACAGGCAGCTGGCTCATGGCTTGCAGATGGAGGAAATAGCCCAATATAAACGTCGGAAAGCAGAAAAGCAGCTTGCCAAGAAGAACTGACGTACCCTCATGCATGGGAGAGCCCTGGTCTCAGCATCGCCGGGCAGGAATCTCCAGCAACGCTTTAAAATTCACACTATGAATCGTGTTTCCCTTTCTGGTTCTGCAGATGGAGCACAAATCAGACACTGATATGAGCTCTGTATGGGAGGTTATTGGGTTTCAGTGTGTGCGTACAGTACAGACTCATTTTGATTTTAAGACTTTTGTTCATTTAGTCCAGTGGTTAAGATATTGAAATATTTACACATTTAGCAGATGTTGTCATTGTTCTGATAAAATTCATTTATATTTCTGTTTTTAAAAAGTCTGTTTAATGGTTCATTAAAAACAAAATAAAAACATCACTTTGTTCAATTTCAGATTATGAATGTTCAGCCCCCTGCACACCTTTACTCATGATAAATTCCAGGGTTTGGTTTTAGGATTAGGATTATCCTGAAAGATGGATGGATGGATGGATGGCCATCTTGTCACAGCATAATCCAAGAGCATCACCCAGTCATCCAGTTTGCTTTCTTGCAGATCAGAGAAAGACACTCAACAATGGCACTAGGAAGTGCGGAATATCTTGCACATACCGCATATGACTCATCTAATCACCCTGGCTTTAAACCCCGGTGAGGGGAAGGTGATGCTCAATCAGCAGGCACTCTGTGGGCACTGCATACAGCTGACAGGAGGAGGCAGGGGCCTGATCCAGTAGCACTCTCACCATAGTGACCAGATGGTCACATGATTTGCTCAGCTAAAACAGGGATCAGCTCTGTGATGTACACATCACATGACTTGCTAAGCTAAAACAGGGATCAACTCTGTGATGTACACATCACATGACTTACTAAGCTAAAACAGGGATCAGCTTTGTGCCGTACACATCACATGACTTGCTAGGCTAAAACAGGGATCAGCTCTTTGATGTACACATCCTCTGGAATGTGAATCGGCAGCTTAACAATTATAAATAGTGTTTCATGAGTATGGGACTGACTGTTATCCTTTTTTGTAACATGCAAGTCAGCCATTTCCATAATCTGTTCAATATTCTGGCTGTGAGATCATTAATATCCCTATTGAGAAATACATGCAGATGTATAGTGCATTGATAAATAAATTGTCAGCCCAAATAAAACTGCAAAAAACAAATGCAAAAAAAGTTATAAAATGTACACAATAAGATCCTATATTTATGCCTGCAGTATTGCTTGCTTTTACATGAAATGTTTAGCATTCTGAAGGGAATATGGAATTGGGCATTTAACAAACTCTTTTGTGGTTAGAACAGAAAGATATGGACAAAAAGAACTTTTTCTAACAGCACTGTGGGTATGGCCAAAGGCTCATACCTCAAAAGTGGCTGGTTCACGGCCCAGCAGGAATTCTTCTGAGTAAGGTACTTAGTGGATAAAAAGAGGCTTTTAATAAAACTGCCAGTCCAACAAACCTAAATCATAAATCTACCGGTATGTAAATTCTTTAAAAAATGAATGTGTGAAAACAGTAAAGTTTTTTTTTCTTTTTGTTTTGAGACCTCAAATTGACAATAAATAATAAATAAATGTAAAGGTAGCAGAATCTGGGTAGGGAACAATTTAACCATTAACCATTGCCCATATTGCCTCTGAGAGTGAATTTGCACCAGATGGTGCCCTAAATGCAGCCTGGATTATCCATGCAGTCTTTAAGAAGGACGTAGACTAGGGAGGTCACTGCTAACCGGCTTAAAATCTCTATAAAACCTGCTCTTCACTAGCAGACAGAAAAACATCAGCTGTGACAATTCCTTCACATGCCACATTACAGTCATTTTATTCTTCATGTTGGTGAATATAGAGTCACAAATAAAAATCAGCCGTTGATAGACAGAAAATGTTCCTTCACATCAGATCATACAATAAAGCAGTTCTTTCTGAAACAACTAATAAAACAATTGCACTGTTACAAAATTACAAATGTGGACATAATTTAATCTTTGTAACAAAACAATAACATTATAGTGACTTTATAGTCACTGTGTGTGATAGCATCTTTGTATATTTGATGTCTTATAGTCATATAATTATATAAGTTTGATATTAAAATTTCACCATTATAAGTACTATATGTGCATGTTTGAACAATATGATGTAATGAAGAAACTGCAAAACAGGAAGATGTTCGAATACAAAAAAGTAAAAAAAAAAAATATATATATATATATATATATATATATATACACTCACCTAA